TACTACCTGAGACTGGGTTATTTCTAAAGAAAGGAGGGTTAATTAACTCACAGTTCCACATGGCTGCGGAGGCCTCAGAAAACTTAAAATTATGGCAGAAGGTGAGGAGGCAATAAGTCACATCTTACTTAGCAGGCAGGCAAGAGAGGGTATCAAGGGGGAAGTGCCAGATACATATCAAACAGCTCTTAGGAACTCATTCATTATTACAAGAACAGCATGGGGGAAACTGCCCCCATGGTTAATCACTTCCCATCAGGTCCCTCCCTTGACATGTGGGGATTACAATTCGGATTACAGTTCAGGATGAGATTTGGGTGGGGACATGGCCAAACCATATCATTTGTTGAAGGAATTTTTCATCTCTAATATTGTGCCTTTTTAATACAGTATTTGCGTTTCTCACAGATTCATCTCAGTAGAGGCTGAGATAAATAGTACTTAGGTTATCGTTATGAAAGATTGAGTCAGTTTGATCAGGAGCTAAGTTGGGCCTTTGTTTTATTATTGCCAGGTCAATGCACCATATCTTTCAAATTCCTCTAGCTGGGCAGCTGTTGCCTTCTGATTTTGCCTCGGCACAGGGGCCTAGATTAGCTGGAGAGTTTTCTGAAGTGTTAGTGCCCTACCCTCAGCGTTTGGTCATCCCTGTACAATGAAGCCACACTGTGGTTCCCTCTCTCCATCTTAGTAGTTGTGTGACTCAGGACAAGTTTCATAGCCTCTTTGTACCTCAGTTTCCCCATCTAAATTGAGGATACAGCTAGTACCTACCTGAAAGGCTTATCATGAGGATGAGAATTAATATATGTAAAGCACTTAGAACAGTGCCTGGTGCATAGAAAGCGTAATATACATGTTTGCTATTATCATTGTTTTCTATAAGATAAGAATTTTGTTATAAAGTGTCACAAACAGATGCTGATGATCTGAAGCAAACCAAAAATGGGAAGGCAAGGGACTAGAAAATAAACGTTAAAGAGATTATTCAACCATAGACCTTTGCCAGGGAGAGAAAGGCAGAGGGATAAACCGCTATGCATCCTGGAGTAGGAGGCTGTGGGTACATTTAATCAGATCCCTGTTTCTAGTCACAGACAGAAATGCACTTGAGTACTTGATACCAGAGCTAAGTCCATGGGTCAGAGGCAGAAGGGAGGGCGAAAAGGGGGCAAGCAAGAGAACTGAACCGAAGAGCACAAGCTCACTTCCATAGTTCTTCTATTCTTACCAGAACCCTAATTATTTGGAGTCAGATTCACTAATGAATTCATTTTCCAAGTTTAGCTGTGTGAATTTCAGCAAATTATTTAGCCTTTTTGAAGCTGGTTTTTTATAAAATGAAGACGATGATAATGAGACTTCTTAAGGTTGTTAAATTAAAGGAAATAATCCATGTAAAGTGATTAGCTCAGTGCCATCAATACAGAAAGTGACCTGGACGATGATTATCATCATCCTCATAAGTTGGTATGTAGATTTCCAAACACCTGAACCCTGACCTGACACAGCCGCTGCTTCTCTACTTCTCATTCCTTGGGCATCTGAAGGAAGTAAGTGCACAGAGACCAAAACTAAACCAATGCGCATACTTTCTCTGTCACTGGGAAGCTTTTGCCTTCTTGTTGTAAGCCTCAGCTGAGCTAGACCAACCTGTCTGGAGAACTAGATAATGGAGCTAAATTTGATCTTTTACTCAGCTATACACCAACTTAGCTCTCCTTTGCCAAGACAGAGGCTGTAAAAGCAAGCTAAGAAAAGCAAGTGTTTTTGTTCCTAAGGCTTAGAGCTAAATGTGCTTAACTCACCCTTCTGAGATTTTCTTAGAGTGGGACCTTGAAGTGAATGAGAAAGAGGCAGTTTTCAAGGTGGGAACAGGATGACAAACCAGTTCAGAAGGAATTCTTGTAGTAATCCCTGATGGCGGCTTAGGTCAAGGTGGAGGTGGTGAGAAGTGGTCAGATTTTGGATATGTTTTGAATAAGAAGCCTACATAATTTGCTGATGGATCATCATGTGTGACATGTGAGAGAAAGGAGGAATTAAGGATGACTCCAAGGCTTGTGACCTGAGAAGCTGAAAGGATTTTCATTTACTTGGTCAACCTTGCAGTCTTGTTACCTACAAGGATCTAACATTGGCCGGAGCTGACTTTTCAATGAAGATAAGTTGTATAAAAATATCTGTATTTATTTCCCTCAATAACGATTCTCAGTGTAGAAGGCTTATAAATCTTTTGTTAGATTTACCCTTAGGTGTTTGATGTTTTTTAATGTTGTTATAAATTTTCTTTTATGTTTGTTTGCTGCTGTAAACCGATAAAATAATTTATCCTTGCTTACTGACTATACTCAACAACATTGCTAAATTCCTCTATAAAATTGTAAAGATTTTCTGTGTACATAATTCTGTTATCTGCTAATAACTACAGTTTTATTTCTAATCTTTTTATACTCCTCTTCTTTTTCCTTCTTTGTTGCACAAACTAGGACCTCCATAAGGTGTTAAATAGAAGTGTTAATAGTAGGTATCAACACTCATTTTTATTCTCAGGGGATGTTTGCTGTATTTTATTCTTAAGTAGGATGTTTGCTGTGACTCTCTTAAAAATGTTCTTTATAAGATTGAATAAAATGCCTTCTGATCCTAGTTTGCTAAGAGTTTTTATCATGAATGGAAGCTTTTTAGAGATGTTGAAAGGCTTTATTGTTATGCGTGGCTTCAGAGTTCTCAGCCCTATCAGATCCCAAATCCCCTCCTATAATAAATTTTATGAAATGCCTCCTTTACCATATCTAAAGTGAAATTCATAGGTAATGGAATCCACCTGTGCTGTGTGTGTGTGTGTGTGTGTATATATATATATATATATATATAATAAATATAAAGAAGAAATAAGTATAATTTATAATAAAATAGTATAATCATTATGTAAATGATCTGGCGTGACTATATTATCATACAATATATTACTCATCAAATATCCAAAGCATTTTTTAGAGTGGGCATCCACTCCCATTCAGCATCAGTGTTTGAAAGGATAATAGCACAGGTTTACATCTATAGCAGACTTCTTTAATTAGAGATGAATCGTTAGTACTATTAGGGAATACCAACCATCATTAGGATAGTTTTAGGGCTTATATGTATAATGACAAAATAAAGGACCTTTTTTCTTTTTTGTGGCTTCTAAGGGAAAGTTTACCCATTAAACAAATACCTACTGAGCATTTCACTATTCTCTGTGCTGCTAATAAATTGCCAATAAAACAAAGCTGCCGGCCTCTTAGACCTTATGGTCAGTAGAGGAGGAAGGCAGTAAATTAATAAATATGTAACATGTAAGAGTGATAAATGCTACAGTGAAAAATAGGCAAGGTAAGGAGCTAAGCATGGGTGGGTGGGTGGGTGGGTGTGTGTGTGTGTGTGTGTGGTATTAGGAGGAGCAGGGAAGAAGCTTGAGCAGACATCTGAATGAATGTTCATATCTAGAGGTAAGCTTTCTAGGAAGAGGAAAGAGGGAGCACACTAGGTATAAAAGTTGAAAGACAGCAAATTGTTCAGCACCTAACATGATGCCTGGCACCATGTTAGGTACTTTGCTTACATTGCTTTATTCATTCCAGTAATCTTATGTAGAGAGTGATGATGTGCTTATTTTACAAATAAGGAAATTGTGGCACACACATTACATAGTGATGCATTTACGATTCAAATCCAGACCCACCTGGCTCCAAAGCTAAGGAAGGTGAAGGAATGCTTTCAGGAGCCCTCTTCTTTTAGTGGTCTGTCACATTACCATAAGAGTAACTTTATTTCATTCAGAGAAATGAAAGAACTGGGTAGAGGACTTGAAAACAATCATTTACATTTTTTCATGTAGCATTTTAAAAATATTTGAACCAATAAAGGCTTTGAAATACCGTGAATGGAAAACATTCCAAAATAAGTTAGAATGAATAAGTTTATTCATTTTTGTAAGCTTTCTATGTTTTTGTTTCTATTACCTACTAAACTTTGTTTTGTTTGGTCATTTCCATAGTTGATGATACCATTGACTATGCAGGAACATAAGACTCAATCATTTTCATTGTTTAATACTAAAAAGTTTATTGTCTTAGATTTATGGTAGATTTAATAGAACTAAGCAATTATAAACTGAGTGCTTTCTTAGGTACCAAATATCTGTTGGTAATATGGGCATTGTTAATACTCACTGTAAAATTAACAACCTTCTTAAGTGGAAGAGATTGTGTTATACTTTTTACCCTCTTTGGTGTCTGTTGAAGGGCTGTTCAGTTTGTAAATGTATTTATATTTTCCTAGTACAAATACTATAAAATTAAGGTCCAGATTCACTAAATAATGATTGTGGCTAACATTTGAGTGACGTTACCTCCAAGCATTACTCTAAGTGCATCACATGCTTTGAGCCTTTTATTTGAATGTTAGTATAATCTAAAATAACAGAATATTTTATTAGCTTAGATTTCTTGTTCATTTTAGTAGTCCCAGGTTATGGCTCTAGAATAACTGAAACGTTATGGCATGCTAAAAATTAATTGTGGAAAGCTTTTGATCTAGTTTAAGATGATTAAGCAGAGACAGTCCCCAGAATATGTGCATGCCAGTGTCACTTTTAATATAGTTTGTTTCATGTAAAATAAGAAATCAGATGTTTAAAAACATTGTTAATGCTCACTATAAAATTAACAAACTGCTGAGGCAGAGTTCAGATGCAGAGATGCAGAGGACATATTGCTAGTAAGAATACTTTAGATTCCTGTGAAATTGTTGCAGGTAAAATGGGAAATCTTGAAAAGTAAACCTTTCACAAGAAAACAAAATTTTTAAAGATAACTTGAAACATTGCAAATATTTTTATTTATCAGATGATTCATAAGCGTATTGTTATCTTCCATAAATGAACATTTTAAAACCATTGGAGTGTTTGTATTAACCAAATATGTATATAATAATTATGATTTATTTTTATAAAGGTTCAGAAGTCCAAAGAAATGACATTCTATGGATAGCCATGGCAGGGACTCATCAGATATGGGCACTCCTACTGGATTCTGGGAAACTGCCTAAGAAAAAGTAAGTGACAGCCTCTTTCTTCGAGTAGACTGTACTGCTTGGCATTCATAGAATTTCTTTTTTCAAAATCATCACCCTCACTGTACCAGTCAGAATGTGCTAGGTTAAATTGCCGTAGCATACAACGCAGATTCTCAGTGGCTTAAAATGAGGTGTGTTTCTTGCTTATTCGCATGGGTTCACTGGGGAGTACTACTCTGCCACCCAGGCTGATGAAACAGCCACTGTCGGGAGCTTTGCCAATCATCCTAGCACAGTAAGAGAGAAAGAGGTGGTAAGTCACTCACTGAGTCTTAAAATTTCTACTCAGAAGTGACACATGTCGCTTTTACTTACATTTTATCAGCCAGAGTAAGTCTCATGGCCACACTTCACTTCAGGAAACCTGCAAAGAACCATTCTTTTTAATGTCCAGAAAGAGAGCTAAGAATATTCGGTGGGCCTTATCTTTTAAGACATAGCTGAGCTGTCTCTAACCATTCATTCAAATAGTTGAATACCACATAGCAGAGTGCTTAATAACCCACTTTTTGTAGTCAGGCTTGGGATTGAGTCCTGGCTCTGCCATTTATTATCTGTATGAGTTTAGGAGAGCCACTTTAACTTTCAAAGCCTCAGTTTCCTGATTTATATTAGCTCATAGCCTTGCTTTGAGGATTAATAATATGTGTGAAGAGCTTGGTATAGTGCCTAACATGTACAGTAAGCATAGGTAGCTTTGCTGTCATGAGGATATAAGGATGAAAGGGTAGTGTCTGCAAAGTTTCTCATATTTTTTCCTTGGAGCCTTTCCTCTTCCCCCTAAACCCAAACAGAACTGGCCATACTCGTCTCTGTGACCTCACCGTACCGTACCTAGTGTATAGTTACCTCACTGCACTAAGTTTTCCTGCCCTGCCTCACTGCCCCTTCCCTTTTCTCCCTCTTCTTTTTTAATTGTTCTTTTTAGCCATTTCCTTCCTTCTACTAAACTGTCTCATAGAGGAAGGGACCCTCTCCCATTCATTTTTATATCCCTTTTATCTATCACAGTATTTGGTACCTAAGAGAAGCTCAGTAAGGGTTTGAGAATAAATGAGTAAAAGCCATTAACTAGAAAGGCTGTCAAATAGCCGTGGAAAATGATCATTTCAAGTTACCTTTATTAATAGAAAGCAGCATTTGTATAGATAATTCAAAATAGCAGATATTCCAAATAGTGTGTATGTTTGTGTATGTTGCTTTGGACACATTTATATAATGTGTTAAGACATTTAATCATTTATCTAGCAAATATTTATGAAACCTACTATGTGCTAGGCAACAGGGATGAAATAATATGCTCACTATGTTAAGGATAAAATGAAAAGGTGTGGTTGCTATCATCAGTGGACTTAGAGAGGAAAAATCAGATCAGCAAAAAAAATTAAAAATTAGTGTATGCAAAAGGAAGCGCTGCAAATTGTAATTGTTCCCTGTATAAGTAAGAGGAAGACCCAACATCAATAAGATTTGAGTTGTCAAGGAGGGCTTCTTGGAAGAGGTAACTAAACAGACACCTAATAGAGTGGTAGAAGTTAGAGGGGGAGAGTGGGAAGTTTTCCAGGCAAACGTTGGCACTAGTGATGTCAGTAGAAGCCAGATCACACCGTGCCTTGTGAGTACTTTTAAGGGATTTGGATATTCTACAAGCCTTTTTAGAAAGGTTTAAGCTGGGAAGTGACAGGATTAGATTTGTGGTTTTGAAAGAACACTGGCAGTACTCAGAGTAGAACACGACTAGAGACAGAGATACCATTGAGGAGCCTATTACTATTATCCAGGCAAGAAATGATAGTAGCCTGAACAGTGAGGTTACCAATAAGATTTTACACGAAGTATAACTACCAACAGCAAACAGAAGGAACAGAAGTTGCCAGAGTATGCTGTTCTGGGTGATGGCTGTTTTAGACATAGATGATCAAGAGCTGCCTACATTTCCTCCTAAGTCGAGTTGTCACTCTCCTTTGTAATAGGAAATTGGCACTAGGATCATGTTGACCTGTATTTTAATTTTAAAGATGTATTATCTTTATTACTAATCTTCAGGTGGTAATAATAGCATTTTAAAAGTTATTGTTTCTCCCCACTCTTTCCTTTATTTAATTAATGAGTCTCGTTTTTAAAGTAGTAAGACTACTTGTAGACTCCTTTCAATTAATTTGTTTTGCGTATTACTTATTGCATGTATTTTACTGGCTAGTTTATGTTTATATGTTTCTTGACTAAGTGGCCATATTTTATGCATCCTAAATCCCTTTGCCTCTGTCCCCTGCTCCCTACCTAACTTATCATGGGAACATATCAGCCAGAAAGTGATCATTAGTTCAGACTTTTGCGTGTTGTACCATATTCAGAAATGATTTACACATACTCTCATTTTGTGTCATAAATCAGCTGCTTCCCTTCCCTCAGCACAACACAGTGTCATGCCTTCCTTACAATCCCTCTGTCGTAAACTTAGAAACCAGGGTCTAAAACTTTCTCTGCGTTATAAAGGAATCACTGCAATAGTTCTTCAAATAGTAATTTCCCTAATGTATATAAGAAATTGATTTCTGTAATTGATTTAATTGTACATAATTATACCTGTAATTGTGAGATAATTATGTACATTTTTATAATTTTTCTTATAATAGTAATGTCTGACCTGGCTATGAAAAACTATTCTTTAATTCCTTTTGCTAGTCTCTGTTTATATACAAGAACATAAAACAGTTTCAATGAAAACTGAAGCTTGAAACTATCAAGAGCTAGATAATCTTTTTAGTTCCCTTTCAGAACCTAATATTGCATGAAACTAAGAAGTTAAGAACTTACAGTGGTAAAAACAGTCTATCTCATCAATAATCTGATCATTATTTTTATCTTATTATTCTAACTCTGTCAGGGATTTCTCGTTTGACCTTTGAAAGTGATTTCAGTTTTGTATATGTCAAAGTAAAGTAAAAAGTTTCCCACACAATGGGTAAATAAGTTAATGATTGGCAAAATGACAGTAAAAGCTGACTTGAACAATTTAACTAGGCCAAGATCACCAGTTTGTTTTTTTATAAGGCTTTTCACTATTGATTCGATCATTTAAGCTCATTTATTTAATAACTAATTTGAACACAATATACCACATGTTGACCCCACCTATGAACTTGTCTTTTTCAGTGAGTTAACAAAAGGAACCTGCCTTAGTTTTGCTGGAAGTGGAAATGAAGAGAATCGAAACAATGCCTATCCTCACAAGGCAGCTTTTGCTCAACCTTCAGGCCTTTCCCTGGCCTCTGAAGATCCCTGGAGCTGCCTGTTTGTAGCAGATAGTGAGAGCAGTACAGTGAGAACCATTTCGCTGAAAGATGGAGCAGTGAAGCACCTCGTGGGAGGAGAAAGAGACCCCATGGTAATGACAGTCACTCTTGCCCAGTGCGCTCAGACACTGAACAAGCTGTCAATTTTGTGAATTACAGAAAGTTAATAAGATTTAAGAGAGATTATCCTTGGCCTATCTGTGAATTAAAATGAAAGTCAAACCAAAGGAAATGTGAATATAAAGCAATGTGAGGAACACAGCATCTAAGAGAAGTAAACTGACTCTGTTATGTATAAATGTTAAGGTTTCAGGGAGAAAGAAAAGATGAAGTATTGATTATTGGATAAAAGAAAAAAATGTAAATTACATATTGGGCGGTGGGGTGGAAAGAGCACCAGACTAGTGGACTTGGCCTGTTCCTGACCAGATGTATTATTGTGAGTAAAACTACTAAGCACCACAGATTAATACAGGTTCAAAATACTGTCGTTTTTTTCTAATCTGAATCAAGTATCCAACCCTATTTATATTAAAATCAGCATTTTCCCTTTTAACTTGAATATCATTTATAACCAGCTGAATTTTCACTTTGTATCCTAACAAAATACTGTAAAAATTATAATAACTGCTGTTTCCTTCCTTTTAAAAAATTAAAGAATTTATTTGCTTTTGGTGACATCGATGGAATAGGAATCAATGCAAAGCTTCAACACCCCCTTGGAGTAACGTGGGACAAGAAAAGAAATTTACTTTATGTGGCAGACTCCTACAATCACAAGGTGAGTCGTGACAGAATTATATAATATCTTGCTTTTTGTATGTGGCATTTAAAATGCTGAAAGATCTGTGAGCCTCCTACAAGTGTCACTCTAAAATATAGAAAGGAGTAACCGTCTTTGACAACTATATCCCAGCTTGTTCTGTTCTTTTCTTGGTCCTTTCTTTGCCACGAGGTTGTGATGGTATTCTGAACTAGGAAAAGCACTAAACCAGTTCCAATGGCAATGGCCAACAGCTGTGAATTGCAGCCCATCAAAGCTGCTTAGTAACATATTCAGTATATCAGGATAAGGCAAGTAGCAGGGAAATTAATATGTCAAGTAACAAATCAACGCTTTTGAGATGTTGCATAGTTACAATGCCTGTTTTTAGCAGCACTTCCATTTTTGTCTATTAAATTGTTTTGTTTTATTGCATTTTTACTTTTTACAGAAATCAGTGGATAATAAATATTCATAGAGTACTTCATCATGTGAGACCATAAATTTAATATAATTGAGCCATAACTGGCAATCATTAAGTTTAACAAAAGTAGCAAATCTTCTAATGCTAGATGCTTAAGAAGACAGAGTCAGTTCAGTTTCGAAAGTGTGTCCCATTTTGAAGAAAAACAATTCAATTAAAATTTTTTTTTAATTCCAGAAATAATTTCATCAAAGATTGCTTCTAGAAGGCAAGATGTAGATAGAAATTTTATATAGTTTTTAGTTCTTAGAATAGAATATCTCCCCTTAGACTGTAATTTGAATGTTTGGCTTTTCAAGAAAATACGGAAATACCTGTTCCTTTTATGAGATTTCTTGAGAATATAAATGGCAATCAGAAATTATCTAGCTTGCTTGATACTATATCCTTCCATACTACAAACATGAGATTGATCTTCAGATACATAAATTTTTGTTCTTTCTTTTTTAGATTAAAGTCGTGGATCCAAAAACAAAAAACTGTACAACATTAGCAGGAACTGGAGATACACATAATGTTACCAGTTCCAGTTTTACCGAGTCAACTTTTAATGAACCAGGAGGCTTGTGTATTGGAGAGAATGGACAATTACTGTATGTAGCAGACACCAATAATCATCAAATTAAAGTGATGGATTTAGAAACAAAAATGGTATCTGTGGTAAGTAATTTTAGAATATAAGTTAAAGGGTGTCATTTTAAGAATGATTCTTAGATCCTTACAGCACTGACAGAGGCATTTTTGGTTAGGCTATCTCCAGGAGAGTAGTAAGTGGATGCTTCTGTTGTGTTTTTTGACAAAGAGACCAGCAGAACTGCTTTAAGGATATCCTCCTAATCTTCAAATAAAAGTTCCATCTGTGCTGAGAGTTTGAGAAAAATACTGGAAATTGGAGAGAATCTGATGAACCTCCAAGAAAAAAAAAGGAGAGGACTCAGATCTGTTTTTAAGTGTACAGGCGTACTGACACATACTACCTACCCCTGCTCTGTGGGTTAGGTTATTTAGCGTTTTTTTTTTGTTTGTTTGTTTTTTTTCAGTGATCTTTAGATTGATGTGTAACCTTTGTTTCCTTATGATGAGTCCATTACCAAATATCTTCTAACAAAAGCTTTAGAAACCACATTTCTCACGACATTGAAAATAAGATTGTGGGAGAAACTTCAGTGAGTTGTAGTCAACTTTTAAAGATATGAACATGGTGTAGAATTTTCAAGGAGAAATATCTATTATAAACTAATTCTTGGTGTATGATATTTACCTGAAAAAAATGTAACAGTTTTTTCCTGAAAGTCTGGTAATTTGCACAGTATATTTTTAAAATAAAAAACACAGGGCTGGGCGTGGTAGCTCATGCCTGTAATCCCAGCACTTTGGGAGGCCAAGGCGGGCCTGAGGTCATGTCAGGAGTTCAAAACCAGCCTGGTTAACATGGTGAAACCCCAGTTCTACTAAAAATACAAAAAATTAGCCAGGCGTGGTGGTGTGTGCCTGTAATCCCACTACTCAGGAGGCTCAGGCAAGAGAATCGCTTAAACCTGGGAGGCGGAGATTGCAGTGAGCCAAGATCACACCATTGCACTCCAGCTTGGGCAACAAGAGCGAAACTCTGTCTTAAAGGAAAAAAACAAAACAAAACCAAAAAAACCACAAAAAAACAGATTACACAGATTACTATTGCAATGTGTCATTTCTCTTCACACAGATCTCTGATATAAGATGAATAACATCTTCTTATAGTTGGCAATGAAAATTATAAGGGAATGTAGATCTGTGTTTAAATTTATAAGCTTTTCCTTTAATTTCCTGCTATCTATAAACAGTGGATGGTTACTTTAATTCTGCCTCATTCATAAGTGTTGGGTTTTGTTGTTGTTGCCTTTGCTAAGATAAACTTTTTCTGTATCTACAAAAATAATCTTGAGGGTATCTAACTAACACATTCTAATTCAACCTAGAATGGAAATTAGTTTCATTGATACAGAATTTCATTATTCTACTAAAGTCTTAAAGTATCCTCATTCTGTAATTACTATAAAGTTCTTACATTTTAATAACAGACTTTCTTATTTCCTAGCTTCCCATCTTCAGATCCGAAAATGTTGTGGTAGATGGCCCATTTCTAGTAGAAAAACAGAAGACATTACCCAAATTACCTAAATCTGCTCCAAACATTAGACTTTCCCCCGTGACTGTGTGTGCTGGCCAGACTCTTCAGTTCAAACTCAGATTAGACCTCCCGTCAGGATCAAAGCTAACTGAAGGGGTACCCAGTTGCTGGTTTCTAACAGCTGAAGGTATGAGTATAAGCTTGCAAATACTAATACATCATACGTTCTTGATGTTTAATCTAGTTATTTTTCATTTGTTAGGTGATATTTTCACTCTGTATGGGCAAGATTTGAAGGAATTAACATAAACACATGAATCCAGATCCAACCCCACATTGGCAGTTTGCTTTAGTCTTCAAGAGTCTTTCCTCCCTTTTATTAAAGAAGAGTGTAACTCCCTAAAAGTTACAAGTCAGTTGTTAGCATGATTTCTTAGAATATGGGATTTCCTATACCTCATCCCTTATTCTGATCCTGTTTTTCATTCTATTCTTGTTCCAAAAAGAATCTTAGATTTAAAAAGTCTGAAATACAGGCTGGCTATGGTGGCTCACACTGGTAATCCCAGCACTTTGGGAGGCTGAGGTGGGTGGATCACCTGAAGTCAGGAGTTCAAGACCAGCCTGACCAACATGGTGAAACCCTGTCTCTAAAAATACAAAAAATTAGCCAGATGTGGTGGTGGGCACCTGTAGTCCCAGGCGCGAGGCACAAAAATCACTTCAACCCTGGGAGGCGGAGGTTGCACTCCAACCTAGGTGACAAGAGCGAGACTCTATCTAAAAAAAAAAAAAAAAAAAAAAGTCTGAAATAGAGAAATGCAGTGGAACCTCTTTATTTAACATCTTTTTCTGTAACTCTTCCTTTCAGTCACTATTATGCATTCCTCCCTTTCTTTTATGTGTGAATCACAGTGTGAACCAGCTCCTCATTTCATTAATCTATGGTAATGAATTAGTATACTGCTTGCCTTTCAGTAGTGCTTTCCAACTTCTGTAACCTAGTGGACAAAAATTTTAAAGTGAAGTTTTAGTGGTTCAGAACTCCTGAATTACAGCTTGTCTCCAATGAGGTTCCTCTGTCCTAGTCTCCCACGCTCTTTCACTCTCTCACTCAATTTTCCATTTCCTCTCCTACTCCTCCTCCTTCATACCCTCTCACACACTTTTCTTTTGTACATTACCCAGATCCTAGGTAATTCACACCTTCTTACCTTCAACTTTCTCAGGGCAGCAACTGCTGACCTGCAATTATAATAATCAACTTAGTGTCTAAACCAAGAGGATAACAATATCTTGGTAGCCTAGCTGGGAGGAACTGCTGGTTAGTGTTTGGGAGGCTGGTTCTAGGGTGATTGAATCTGTAGAGAAACCATCTCCTTGTCACTCCCCACAAGGGAGAAGGCTGACCATGTATGGCTAGGACCTTTGGAGCTTACTTTATAGACAGAAGAATACTCAAACCCTGGCCAGTCCATCGCCTTCTGTAGATTTGTGCAAGTCCTAGACTGCCAATTTAGGCCTGGAAGTAGTACGTCAGCTGGAGATCGTTAATTCAATTTTTCTCGGCGTTACTGTAAGAGCAGTGTATTAAATGGTGTCATTGTAGGAGCCGTGTATTGATTTTTAAAATAGCATATTGACAGATTAACATGCTTATCTCTGTATTATCAGACACTAATCTTGAATCATTGGGATGTAAAATACAGGTTGTATTCAAATGAGGAAGTCTAGAGAAAATACTTAGCTGTTTTATCATTTGTCCAAGATATTGGCTGCATTTTTATTATATAGAAGCAGATAATTTTCAGGCAATAATACTAATAATTTGAAGTTTTTGAATATTACAGAGTATATTTGTACACTTATGTTTAAAGGACATTTTCTTTTTTGACTTGTTATTTAGAAACAAACATTTACTTTTAGCCAAATTTTGGTCTGTATAATCTTAAGGAAGTTAGACCATATGCAAGTTTTAAGCCCAAAAAAAAAAAAAAGACAGCATAAAAATACCACATGTATTGTAACTTCACAGATTGTGTGTGTGATATATGTAAAAAATAAAGAAACATTTTCTGTTTTATTTCTAGATTTGGACATTAAAATAGCTCAGTATTGTTTTCTTTTTTTGATTTAAAATATAAGAAGTTCTCTACTAATCTCTCTAGCAAAATCATACATTAGATAAAAGATACTCTCCAGTCCAGGAATAAGCAAAGAAAGCCAAATAATTTTAAAGAGAATTTTAAAAGAATTGTTTAAAAGCTTCAGCATAAAAGTTTTGTAGTTATCTCTCTAGATTCTTATTTTTCACCTTCTTACCCTTATTTGACATATTTTTCTCAAATTTGATTTTTCAATAACCTAAAGCAATCAACTAAAAGAGACAGCAAGAGGACTGATAAAGGCAGGTACTCTGAGTTAGCTGACTCATCCTGAGAACAAAAGAAAGAGACAGAAAAGGTGAAAAGTAGACAGCATTTCATCACATTCAGTGGATGGTCCAGTTTTTGTACAGATCCCCTGAGTCATTAGAACCAAATGTTCAGTGTTCTCCATTTACATGGCGGGAAAGCATTTCATATATTTCTCAAATGCTGGCTCTTGAAGGCTGCCACCCTCTTAGGCTGAATATATGTGTCTGTGCTTCCCCAGTATGACACATGTGTTCCTTCTAAGAGAAGGTCAGATGAATAAAGATATTTACAGATGATTTTAATTCTTGAGGACTTAAAATTTGTTAGTGGCTTATTCAATTTTTGTTATAGATAATCTGTATATTTATGTCGAGGAAGAGTTTTACATGTTAAAATGAGATATGCAGAATCTCTTGGTTTTTACATTGCTTGAGCGCACGAACGATAGATATGCAATGGTACCAGTTTCTAAAGAAATTAGTTTTGTGTGTGTGTGTGTTTAAATTACTTTTAGATATTCAGTAATTCATTATTAAATAGAAAGTCACTACAGAGTTGCAGATACATTTGCATTTCCTAGATAAAATTTTATTTTGTAGTTTATATATCCCTGAAGACTTACCTGTTTGGTGAAAATGATCCATTTTCTCAATGTCATATGTTTATTTCTAAAATTTAATAGGTTTCATTTTTAACTTTAGAGATTAAGGCTTTATATCCATATTTGCAATATTCAGCTTGATTTTAATAGGAATAAATGTGTAATTTACTTTATCCAAACAAAGGAAGAACTATAATAATTAGATATAATCATCAGACTGGGAACTTCTAACGAGTGGTCATTATATATTATTTATATTTATGTCCTTCCCACAGAGCACAATGCCTGGCATTTATAAATCTTTAATAAATATTTGTTGATTGAATTAACCTAGTCTTCATAAGATATTCCCAGTTTTCTACTTGTCTTATATAGTCTTAATAATGTCTTTTTTAATTTTCAGGCAATGAATGGCTGCTTCAAGGACAGATACCATCTGGAGATATAGAGAACATTTCCAATCAACCAACAATTTCACTACAGATTCCTAATGATTGTTTAGCACTTGAAGCCATTATATCTGTCAGCGTGTTTCTTTATTACTGTAGTGCAGACAGCAGTGCTTGCATGATGAAGGCAGTTTTGTTCAGTCAGGCTTTACAAATAACTGATACCCAGCAAGGTTGCATAGCTCCAGTAGAGCTCAGGTATGTATTTTAGCCAGCCAGCTAGCTAGCAACCCATTGCCACCACCTGCTGTCCCCATCCTATCGCTGTAATTTAATGAAAGAAAACTTCACTTCTGCCTCTGGATACCCAGATGCCCTTTGCTCATTTCTAACAACTGATATTAAAATAAAGCTATGCTTCTTATTTACTTTTTTTATTATAAACAGATTCCTTTGCTCTGGCCAATACTAGCTGAGTCGTTGATCATCATTGGAATCATGATATTGTAATCTGTGCTGCTATTTGGCACAAGAATGAAGTCCACACTACAGTAGAGAATACTATAAGATAATTTACAATGAATACTGATAATAATACCAGATATTTTAACTTTTTCTACCTTTATTAATAACAATCAGCACAATTGAATGTGTAAATTTCGCAGTAACTTTAGGCAGAACTTAAGCTCCAATCCACATTTGTATAAGAACATGAACTATTCAAGGCATAAAATCTGTTATAAAGGAGAGTTTTGATCTATTTTTATTATAAATAATTTGTTCTAACATACCACTTTAATGCCTTAAAACTTTATACAGGTAAAGTTGGACACAGAATATCTAAGGGCATATAGACCGACTCCTCTAATTTTGTTTTTGAGTGACTACATTCAGATGATGAATGAGTCCCCAGAAATATTATGACTTTCAAGGAAAAAAGGGACTTCAGGACACATTACTTAGTATCTGTGATAAATAATTTATTGTGACAGCTAAATCTGATGGTCATGTATCTTGCTTGTTTTGGAAATTTACATTTCACTTGTAAGCATTACATGCAGATTCGTTGGGTTCAGGTTTAGAGGTTTTTTGTTGCCATATCCAGAATTTAAATTATCATTTATTGTGATGTTTATAAAAATCACTTTTAAGCTTTCAAAGTGAAATTTTCAGTGTGAAGTATTTTGATGCTATTAATAGACACAGTATATCCTAATATATTACTCTTCAAAATATTAAGGCCGAAAAGAATAATACTTTCTTTCAATTTTTGTTGTTTTTTAACCCTAAAAAGATATTGAAAAAGTTTCTGCTGTCATAATTTATAACTATTTAAAAGCCTAATCATTTTTTCTTAAGACCTATTCAACGTGTTTGTGATTTAATCAGCTTACAAGATTTTAAAAACATCAGGTGAACCATGTTTATTCAGTAAATATTTGTAGACAATATGGCATAATATGCTTCCCTTCCTTGTGAAAAACAGTGCTAAATTTGAAGTGTAATCTTTTTAAAGCATCACTGTTTATTTTTAATTATTTTTTGGAATGTTGTTTTGAAATGTATTAGTTTGTTTTATTCATAAGGTTAGCTGAATCTCTGAAGTAAGGATGTATAAATCATGACATTGATTTAATTAGTCTTCTGCTGAAGCGATTTTTAAAGAGAAGTATAGATATAAAATTAAAAGGAATCCTTTTTAAAACCATGTGTAATTACCTCATAAACCTTTTCTCTCCACAAGCAATCAAAAAAATGAAATGTTCTGTAATAAAAGGGTGTATAACATTCTCTTTTAGGGATAATAGGCCTTAGGTTTTTTCTTTTCTTTTTTTTTTTTTTCCTTTTTTTTGTTGTTGTTGTTTTGAGGTGAAGTCTGGCTCTGTTGCCCAGGAAGGCAGATACAGTGGCACGATCTCAGCTCACTGAAACCTCCACCCCTGGGTTCAAGAGATTATCCTGCCTCAGCCTCCACAGTAGCTGGGATTACAGGCACACACTACCATGCCTGACTAACTTTTTGTATTTTTAGTAGAGACAGAGTTTCACCATGTTGGCCAGGCTGGTTCCAAACTCCTGGCCTCAGGTGATCCGCCTGTCTCAGCCTCCCAAAGTGCTGGGATTACAGGTGTGAGTCACTGTGCCGGCTGGCGTTAGTTATTTTTTAAATCTTATTTGACTTACTATATTTCTTATTTCTAGTTGGACAGGACGAGAATTGTGGCCCAGTCATTCTTTGTTTAAGGACATAAACAATTTCACACTCTAAAAGAAGTATATATAAGTTTAATCTGCTAATTTAGAAGTGTCTGACAATTTATTTTTCAATATAAACACAGTGTTTGTTTTACATTTTCATGTACATTGAAAATGCAAAAGCATTTTTTACAATCTATTCCCCTTCGTTTGTCTAGACAGTTTTATGTTAGTCCTAGCTTATACTTTTGTTGACTCTCAAAGTGCAGTTTTATCAAACATCCTTATTCTTACCCACTGCCAGTCTGCATTGTTTTTTACGTTAAAAGTATTATTTGTAGTAGATTAATATGATTTTGAATAAATCACACTAACGCAATATAAATAGGTTCCTAGAATTTATGACTAGGATAAACCTCTCACATAGGAGGAAGTACCAGAAAGTTTATTTTTAAAACTTGTTGATCCATGTCTACCTTTCATATTCTCTAAGGACTTCATATTTTTTAACTTTTGCTTTTCTTGTTGCATAAATTGTTATGTCCAATGATAGTTTAAAAAGAGTCAGATTTTAGTGTAAGTCACCTCAATTGAAAGGCCAGTAATGTGGAATTACACATACTTTATATAATACCTGGAATCTTTGTCCTAAATTATTCTGCTGATTTGTCCCTATTTTTTTCCTCTTCTCTTTATTCCACAATTGGTAGAAATTTTTGATGTGATTCCTGTAAAGAGTTTAGCTGATCTTGAATATTCTGTCTTAAGCAAATATTTAACAAGGGAAAACTCTGTAGTTTAATCACCTGTGAGTGTAACTTTGGCAAAATTCAGTGACTATGAAAAGCGTTTTTTTTCTTAACTGATCTAATAATATTAGTTATAGTATTGTCAAACCTTCAGAAAGCTATAAATCTCAACACAGCCAGAAAAAAAGTTTAGAATGTGTATATTTATATAGGTGTGTGTGTACATACACAAAGATTACGAATTGCTCGTAATTCTTTTATGGCCAGTATACTTTTGAGCTTATACAACTGAGATAAATTACTCTTTCCTTGTTTTTCTATAGTTGGAAAATTTAGGAAGATAGAAAATACATCTCTCTCTAATGTAATAATTTTCTGCCTGCACAAAGTTTACTATTAATTTATGTCTACCAATTAAAAGTACGATAGTTCCATTTGACATCATGTTTAACAACAGTCATCAAAATCTACCTAAATTCTATAGTTCACAGTTACATAAACATATATGCAGAGGGAAAATGTCAATAATGGTTCTTGTGAATGATGAAATAATGGATGTTTTTATTTTAATTCTTTGCTGAGTTGTTTTTGTTTGTTTTCAGGAAGCAATCTTATTTTTAAAATTCTTTTTTTAAAAAAGCAATCTTATTTTTAAACTTTATGGGAAAACCCATAAAGTTTAAAGATTTAAAGTTAACTGAATCTTAAGCACTTATATAATAACTTTTTTAAAGTCACTTTTATTACCAAAGCTCAGAACATTGTTTTGAGTCCTTTAATCTACAGTTCTCTTAAGTATGTGATTTTGTGAAGATAGAAATAGTTATGGCTTTTTTGTTCTGGTATTTTTATTGCCTAATGTAGTATAGTAGTTAAGAGCTTGGATTTTGCAGTAACTTGGATTCTAATCTTTTAAAATGGGGTTAATATACCTGCCTCATGGAAGTATTTATTGAAATATTGTGTGTAAAGCACTTAGTAATTAGTGAAACTGGTCATTATTGGCTTAGTTACTATAATGATAATTTGTGACCACAAACAAATATCACCTTACATTTTCTTCGCAACTGCAATTTGTAAAGGAAAATCTTCCTCCCACCAACTATTGGTTATGTTAATATTCTCCATAGAGTTGGGTTCAAGAAGAGAAACACGGTTTTATCATGAAGCATGTAACTTTTGTAAAAAAGTCACACTTTTGTAAAAAGTCACCCAGGCTGGAGTGCAGTGGCGCGATCTCGGGTCACTGCAACCTCTGCCTCCCAGGTTCAAGCATTTCTCCTGCCTCTGCCTCCCGAGTAGCTGGGACTACAGGCACATGCCACCATGTCCAGCTAATTTTTTGTATTTTTAGTAGAGACGGGGTTTCACCATGTTAGCCAGGATGGTCTTGATCTCCTGGCTGCGTGATCCTCCCACCTTGGCCTCCCAAAGTGCTGGGATTAGAGGTGTGATCCACCACGTCCAGCCTAAAAAATTTTTAAAGACTTTCTGGAACTATGGGTAATAAATTTGCTTTGAGAGGGTCCAGACATACTCATCCTGAACCACATTCCTACAACAGGTGTCCAACAACTTGCACCAGAGTACTTATATCTTAACCAAAAAGTTTCACTTGATGGGGCTTTACCAAATCTTCAGAATGCTTTCACGTATATTGCCTCATTTGAGCTTCAAATAACCTTATAAATCAGGCAGGTAGATGTTAGTTTACAGAGAAGGAGATAGCTTTGGAATAGGGGTAACGTATCTGAAGGTCAGAAAACTCGCAGAATAGTGCTCAATGCCTAAAGTGGTGCCTGGCGCCAGCAGATGTTCAGTTCTATCAAACAAGGGGAAATAGTGAATGGTGGAGCCTTTATTCAGGCCCAGGTTTCCTTGTTCCTAACTCTTCTCCAAGATGCAGAGGGAAAACAAACTGCTAAATTAAGAGTTCTTCCATGGACACTTTCTTAAGCCTTCAAATAAAGTAATTTCGGATACTCTTTCTTAATTTCAGATATTATCCTGAATTTTTCTTGGCAGATAGATGTATTAAAGAAAAAACTTTCCAATGTTAGTTCTAGTAGTGCTGTTTCAAAAGTTATAATGGTTGGTCTTCAAAAGGTAATTAAGACCTTATCATAAAGAGCCTTATGCACAGGACTATCTCAAACCCTAAGAAGCTTATTCATATTTAAGAAAATTGTGTTGTATTAAATATTAGTCCAAGTGAGCTCTAGAAATACAGTCTTCTGCTTTCTTGTTTCATAAATGACATTGGTATGTATACCGCTCCCCATGACTCAGATATTAATATATACAATTGTGTTATGGTAAAGTTTTCACTACGGTCAACTTATTCCAGCATTAGGTACCCTTTTTTGGGGGGGTGAAGTCTCACTCTGTCACCCAGGCTGAAGTGCAGTGGTGCAATCTCAGCTTACTGCAACCTCTGCTCCCAGGTTCAAGTGATCCTTATGCCTCAGCCTTCCAAGTAGCTGGCGCTCACCACCACAGGTGCCCACCACAATACCTGGCTAATTTTTATATTTTTAGTAGAGACAGGGTTTTACCATATTAGCCAGGCTGGTCTCCAACTCCTGACCTCAAGTGATACACCTGCCTCAGCCTCCCAAAGTGCTGGAATTACAGACATGAACCACCACACCCAGCCTAGCATTAGGTACTTTTTTTTTTTTTTTTGAAATGGAGTTTTGCTCTTGTTGCCCAGACTGGAGTGCAGTGGCACCATCTCATCTCACTGCAGCCTCCACCTCCTGGGTTCAAGCAATTCTTCTGCCTCAGCCTCCTGAGTAGCTGGGATTACAGGTGCCCGCTACCATGCCTGGCTAATTTTTTGTAGTTTTAGTAGAGATGGGGTTTCAACATGTTGGCCATGCTGGTCTCAAACTCGTGACCTCTGGTGATCCGCCTGCCTTGGCCTCCCAAAGTGCTGGGATTACAGGCATGAGTCACTGCGCCCAGCGAACTAGGTACTATTTAAAGGAATTAAGCAGAATGCTACGTACCAACGATTATGATTCATGATCATCTAAACACAGAATGCAAACTTTTCATTCTTAGTGTGCTAAGTAGTATTATGGTGCAGTAAGGAATATGTTAATTTTCTTATAAAATCCCTCTTTTGAAATCCATAAGGAAATGTACATCAGCTTAAGAAAGTGATAATAGTGTCATATTTTAAAAGTAGAATTCACTGTTAGTCTCCAAGATTACCTTTTCTTCTCCTGTGGCACAGTTTATTTAAATGGAGTATTAACAATAATCATGTCACTATTTTGTCCTGAATAGTTAAGAGTTTGCTTTTCTCCCATTTCTTTGCAATCGAATAAATAAAGAATAGTATTAAAAGTCAGAGGCTTTACTAACCTACCTATTTGTATTCCGGGACTAACAAACCCTGGCCCCTTCACATATGAGCCCTGCAGGTTTGCCTGCCTGCCTCTGGCTTGCGGAAGGCTGCCCCAGTCACAGAGCCTGGGTGAGGTGGAACAGGAGACAACCCCACACGGCTTTTCTGATTGTACCCCACCCGTTTCTGAGTGTGTTGGTTTGGTTTCATTTTTTTCAAAGGTTGGGGTTGAAAAGTGAAAACCTTAGACACATTGTGGAATGTTTGCCTGGTTGTTTTGGTGTATGCCTCTTCACTGACATGTCCCTTTCAAGTGTACCAAAGGACATTTTGTTCTGTTAAAGCCCCAGGACCAAAAGGAAAGTATTGCAAGCATTTGCAAACTTTCCTACCTATATAAGCCGCCATAATACTAAAAAGCACTAAACAAGCACAAACAAACACTAAACAGCCTTATACCAAAAAGCATTCTTGTAACTGTCAGGGCATCGTATGAGTTCCTTCCTCTTTAAGCAGTAATCTACAGGCCCGGTGGCTTTCAGTAATATAGAATTAAGCAATAGTTATTCTTTAATGTTGAAAACTTGAGTGAGTAATATGGACACAGTTTACTACCTTTTGCTTTTAATATACTTGGTTGTGCATTTCTGTTTGAAATAAAATGAAAGGAGACCTCATAAACTGATGCTGAGAAGTAGAAAAAATCAACTCTCAGATTTAAATGTGCCCAATTTAAATAGTTTTCTTTTCCTCCCCCCCCCCCCCCCCCGTTTTTTTTAAAGAGACAGGGTTTTGCCCTGTCGCCCAGGCTAGAGTGCAGCAGTGACGTGATCATAGCTCACTGCATCCTGGAACTCCTGGGCTCAGGAGATCCTCCTGCTTCAGCCTCCTGAGCAGCTAAGACCACAGGTGTGTGCCACTACTCCTGGCTAATTTTTTTGTAGAGATGGGGTCTTGCCATGTTGCCGAGATTGGTCTCAAACTCTTGGCTTCAAGCCACCATCCTCCTAAAGTGCTGGGATCACAAGCCTGAGCCACCACTCCTGGCCTGTTACTCCTTTATCTAATGTGTGCTAAGATCATGAAAAATATATGTTGAGGTAAATAGGGCAAAACATTAGTGATAAATTATGCTAATTAATGGGAAAAGTAGATATTCCTCTAAAATTTATTCCTCTGAAAATTTAAAAGGACTCTGCCATGCAACTGTCTTCTGTTTTTGGAATTTGTAGTCATTCTTCTTAGTGTCACTGGAAACATACTCATTCTTTGAGTATGTACAGGATGGGCTACCTTTTGTATTTATTATACTTTTCAAAATGCTAACACGTTTTGTTTAGTTGAAATATATTGTTCATGCATGCCTGTGATATTCATCATCAAAAAATACCTGTAAAAAAAAACTACCACTTCCTCTCCACACCTTAGGCCTCCCTCTTACTAAAAACAATAGTAGTTTCTGTAGAAGTTTCAGTGAGAGATTGGTTTACATAAACAGACATGGCAGAACAATTTTGTTGTCGTTTTTTCCCCTAGCATTTCTCATAATAGCTCAGTTTTCAAAGGAGGGGAACAGTACCTTAGTGAGTTCAAATTAATTTTTTCTATTTTGAGGTATACCTTCCTAATTATATTTTCATAGGCTTTTTTTTTTTTTTACATTTGAATTCTTACTGCTAAGGTGCATTGAGAAACGGTTTAGAAATGTTGCACTTGTCATTTCTTTTCATGTGGACTATGAACAAATGAAAGTTTGCTGTGTGATTACAGTTTCAAGTTATAACATTTCATAAATATGTCCGTTTTAGAAGCTCCCATCTTTTGTATGGATAAAATTTATGGTTTTATTTCTCACAATAGAATTGGTCTACTATGCTGACTTCATGTCTGTCATTCCAAAGGCTTGATTATGTTTTTTTCTCCAGTGATTAAAAATGCAGTGAAAATCCAATTTACAAGTTCATATATTGATGTATCTAGACATAATCTAGTTCTAAAAAAATGTACTTGGTGTGCATTTTTAAGTGTTTCATGTAAACAGATTAATATATTTTTGTACGTTGTATTTCTACATTTATTTCAAGACTGTACTTTTCAGTGACTTTTTCAAGTACATGTGTTAACAGAAGATTGTTTGGAATGAGTGTGCAGTGGCCTTCTTTACTGGTCAAGAGCAGTGTAATACTGTACAAGTGATCATAGAAGGTGAGAATGTGTTTATACTGTACCTGGAAACCTAATGCCTCTTTTCTAAAGCTTTGTACATTTTTTTCATGAAATAGATTAAATATTTTCTCTCTAAAACTGTGTTTCCATTTTAATGTGTTTTCTAAGTGTATCATAAGGTAACTCTACTACTTAGAAACCTGTAAGCCATGATTTATTTGAGCTTTTGGGGAAATGGAAAGCATAATACTTAGGTTAAAAAAAATTTTTTTAACTGCAAGCAAATACCTCAAGATCAAATCGTGCAATCGTAATTACTGTAGAGGTTTTTAATATATATTGGAAAGAGTAGTCTATTCAATAAATGACATCGGGAACATTTGAAAAGAACAAAAATAGATCTCTGCCTACCACTGTGCACACTGAATTTGAAAGGAATTAATGACATAACACAAAAAATAAAATTACAGAAACGTCAGAAGAAGATAAAGGAGATTACCTATGGTGTTGAGGTGAGAATGGCATTCCTGAGAGTGACCTAAAGCCCAAGAGCAATGATTGGAAAAGTTGACATGTGTGACTACATAAAAATTTTAAGCAACTATATAACGAAAGAACAGAAGTGAAAAAAGCAATGCAAACAGTGAAAATATTTTTGAGACACAAAATAGACATAGGATTACTATGTGTAGTATCTGAAGAGCTCTTATAAACTAATCAGAGGAAGACGTCCCACTTGGAAAATTGGCAAAGAATATGAGCATGCAATTTACAAAAGAGAAAATAATGAAACGTTCAGTCCCACCAAATCAAGAAATGCAAATGCATTCATTCAGCTATCTATTGAGCACCCGTTTTGTGCCGTATTTCAGGCCCAGTGATGAACAAATTAGTCAAGGTCTCTGCTCTAAAACTTGTGTTGTAGTTGGGAAGAGAGACAGGAAAATGAATAAAACCAAAAGGATAAATGCCATAACAAGGTAAATAGGAGAGTCCAGGCCTTACAAATGAATGTGAATGATGAGAGAAACCCAGTCATGCATACCCACCTGTGGGCAGTGCAGAGGTCATGTAAGTTTCTGTTTTCCAAAATGATTCTACCAATTACACTCCCATTGGCAAAGTACGTGGCAACCAATGGATCCCCGTTCTCTTTATTACATTGCCAGACTTGAATTTTTGCCCTTTAGATATAAGATGGTGTGTCATTGTGTTGATTTGCATTGCCACGACCACCAGTGAAGCTGAACATTTTTCTTACTGATCCAGCAGTTGCACTTGTAGAAATTGATTTAGTACAATACTTGCTTCATGTGCACAAAAGTGTGTCAACATTGTAATACCGAAAAACTGAAAACCTAAATATCTCAATAGGAACATAAATTTTTTTTTAAACAATGGTCTGTCCATACCGTGGAATATAATGCAGCCATTAGAAATAATCAGACATCTACTTGTACTCACATGTTATGTGAAAAGTTTCTGAATAAATGTAAATCTTAGTTTTAAAAACTAGCTCTATACACATGCACGTGTACATCTATAAACGCTCTTTGCTTTGCACAGTAATATATGACCATAAAAATGACCTTGCAAGCTGAAGCTCTGCAAAGCAATCTCAATAATCATTAGAGGAGCAGATGATTGTTTCATGGCCTTTAAAAACATTAGTGAAAATATTAAAAGCTCTCTGTCAATTTTAAATGAATGGGGAAATGAAAAATGTAAAGCTAGTATTTATTTAGTATAACATAATTTAAAACATTGCAAATATTAAGAGTTCAAGTTTTTGTCAAAAAATTTACCGAGAGCATTTGAACAGTACTTGCCTGCATCTCGTAATTTGCAACACAGAGCAAGTATCTTTTCTATGCCTTGACAAATTGTTAAACTCCTTTCAACCTTGTAAAATACCTTTAAGAGTTCTTTGATGTGAGGCATTTATGCCAGCATTACTTCCTTTGGAACATTATCTTTTCATTACAACCAGTTTCCTCATTTATGTTGATAAATGTTAAGTTCACTTTCACTAAGTGTCTCTGGCTTCTTACCTAGAGTCTATCAATGAGCACAGTATCAAGCATTCCCACAGCCAGCCCAAATTTTATTTCCAGTGTTACTGCTTTTCATTTCTTTGCTGTATTTTTTGTCTCTGTTGGCCAGTTCCCTGTTTGAACTCTCCAGTTCTGTAAAATGCCATGTGCCTCTGTCACTACAATACAAAAAGGCAATACAACTACACACATTGCTGTCTGTGCATAACAGATACACAGTGACCAGTCACTGATGGATTTTGAGATAAATGACATCATTGGTTAGGGGCACACCTATTGTTAGTGAGTTGTGGGCTGAGGAGCTAACAGTGAAGTTTTTACTTAGTAATTACAGCTAAAATGCCATGGAAATGAAATTTGAACTGTGTTGTTTGGGAACTGATGTTATTTAAACCATGTAATTGAAAGTGTGCCTATCAGAATTGTTCAGAAAGATTGCCTGCATATATATATGTAGGATATATGTATATATGTGCATCTACACACATATCTATGAAAATATATAAAGGAATAGAAAAAATATAGTAGGGCACAACAAGATTCTAATTAACAATATAGAGTTGAATTTGAGGAAGGAGATAGGAAGGAACTAGTATTTATTGATCTTGCGATATTTTTGTATTGTTTGAATTTCCATAAATTAATGCTTTTTTAGAACAAAATTAAGTGGGAGGGCTGGGTGTGGTGGCGCACACCTGTAATCCTAGTACTTTAGGAGGCTGAGGCAGGAGGATCACTTGAGGCCAGGTGTTCAAGACCAGCCTGGGCAACATAAGGAGACCCTGTCTCCACAAAAAATAAGTGGGAAAAAGATCACTTCCATTCCCCACAGTCACAAAGCTTGCTTTGCGTACATTCTGGAAAAGGTAACCGGAAGGGTAATGAGAATATAAGAATGTTGAATACATAGATGTTTAGGGGAAAAACAAACCCTATGATGGCTATGTTAGACCATAGGGAGAAAAATATAAACTGAGAGTAAGCGTGCCACAGCATAGTGCAGTGTCTAAAGATACCAACTCTGTGCCAGCTGACCCAACACACTTCATCATTTCATCTCCATCGACATTTAGTTTCCTATCTGTATCTGGATATTAACACCTTACAATTATTTTATGATAATGTTAGAAAAGCACTTTAACACAGTGACTAATGACTACGAAATGCTCAAATCATTGCATTATTCATGCCATGGAGAGCAGTGAGTTTTCTGCCAGTGAATGTCTTCAAATACAGTCTGGGAGATGGCTGATTGGAGTAGTTACCACATAAGGAGAAATAGAACCAGATGACCTGAAGTTCTGAGCCATTCTCAGAGACCATGCATGATTTGAGATATTTATGGAAAAATCTGTTTGTTTAGTTTGATTTCAAAACAATAATTTGTCATTTTTGCCTTTGGATTTTATAATACTTTTTGGAATGAGACATACACTACAAACTAATTCAAATAGTGCATTGTACAGGTACACAGAGTTTTAATAGGACTCAGAAAATTATTGAAAATGGTTTTAATCAAATGCAGCTTTACTAGTGGATACACGTTTGTATAATTCCAATCTTGCTAATTCGATTTATATTTTAAAGTAGGCAAGAAACTTAAAAGGATTTTGACGGGAAAAAGTGGATATTCATTCCCCTCCCTTTTTTTCTGTATAAGTAGTTCATGAAAAATATTTGCAAAACTCTTTATATACATAAAACTTTACTTAGGCTATTTTAAAAATCTTTAAAAATGAAAGTTTTTTTTAAAAAAAATCATGGGCCATCCAACATACAATAATCAAGTTCTTTTACACATCTGTGACCTCAGTCTTAACAATTTTCCAAGGAATATACTGTTTGAGATTTTTTTCGTGACATCTGGAATACAACTAGATCGTTATGTTATTTTGTGTTCATTTCTTATCTTGCCTGCTGCTAAGGAGCAGAAATAAGGAAGATCACTGAATTGACAGACAACTGTATTTCCACACTCCTGCCCTGTGGCATCTGCCTTTTAGTTTTCGAGGCAACCCTCATTGGCATGTAGTAGCATGTTGGTTGGTGCTGGCTGGTTACATGCCAAGAGTGAGGTAAACGCTTCACAATAAGCAATGGAATTGCTTCAAGTCAGTTTTAAAATTGTTAGTTTAGAATAAAACTAAAATGAGAAAGAGTTTTTACATTAATTGCTGTGCATCGTTTTTCTGTTCATCAAAGCACTTCCAGTTTACTTTTAGCTTTTTAGTTTAAAAATTTAAAAATTAAATAATTTAGCTTTTTAGTTTAAAAACATCTCCACAACTTTTAAACCATGCTTATATCTCTCTTGTGAGAAAGGCAACACACAAATTGTATATACCAAATTACATATGTATGCCAGCATTTTATGCACACATATATATAACTGGTGAATTTCACCAGTTCCAGTTGCTAGTTTCCGCTTTGTGATGCCAGAGTCACAATTCTAGTCAATCTTAGGGTATTATTTTAGTAAGTAGTAACTTTAATCAAACTTTGAACATTCTGATTGCATATGTTAAGCATATTTTAATTTCAATTGCTAAGAAAAACAGATTATCACTGTATAATGTATCTGCTGTTACTTCCGCTTATTGAAGAAATCACTGAACTGCCACTGAAGAGTGGGAGGCACCTAGGAACGGCTGAGTTCTGGAATGCTGCCAACATATGAGAAGCATGCATTTCTTCTAAAATGTTTAGGATTTTCATTTGAAAAGGGTCTTCTCATTCAGTAGTATCTATCTCTTTAAATGGAAATGGTTCTATATTTGGCATTTCATTGGAAATGACACCACAACCAAGTTCCTTATTAGAGTGGGCAAGATGAGGAGGACACGATAAATATTTGAAGTATAGTTTATCTGCCCATCCTGGAAGGGAAGAACAATAGCTTATCCATGTTCAGGAAGCTAACCTGACCTAAAAATCCAAGCGTTGCATGGGAGCTAATGAGGCTGTTTACCCCATTCCCTCATCTTTCAGCAGTATTACTGTAAACTTAAGTCAGCTTTGCAGAAAGTCAAGTAGAAAAAAACACCTGCTTTTATTTGTGTAACTTCCTAGAGGAAGAAAAAGATAAAT